TGGGGGGATTACATTTTAAAAAAAAACATGTGTGAGTGTTAGAGTGAGTGTTAGTGTGTGAGTGTGTTAGAGTGAGTATTAGAGTGTTAGTGTGTTAGAGTGTGTGAGTGTTAGAGTGTGTGAGTGTTAGAGTGTGTGTGTGTTAGAGTGTGTGTTAGAGTGTGTGTTAGAGTGAGTGTTAGAATGAGTGTTAGTGTGTGTCTGCTAGTGAGTGTCAGTGAGTGTGTTACTGTGTGTGTCTTACTGACTGTGTGTTAGTGAGTCTGTTTGATGTCTGTTAGTGAGTTTGTTTGTCAATGAGAGTGTATGGTTTGTAAGTGAGTGTGTATGTCTGTCGCTAAGTGTGTCTGTCAGTAAAAGTGTGTGTCTGTTAGCTATTGTGTATGCGTCTGTAAGTGAGAGTGTGTGTGTCTTCAGCACTTACCTTTCTCCCTTGGCGCTGGGGATCCCTCAGCCTCTCAGCTCCGAATGCGACCGTGCACGCATTCAAACCGCCCATAGGAAAGCATTACTCAATGCTTTCCTATGGACATTCAGTGTGCTCCTGTAGCGGCTGTCAGTGAGACAGTCACTAGAGGCTGGATTAACCCTCAGTGAAACATAGCAGTTTCTTGGAAACTGCTATGTTTTCAGCTGCAGGGTTAAAACCTGGGGGACCTGACACCCAGACCATTTCATTGAGCTGATGTGATCTGGGTGTCTGTAGTGGTCCTTTAAGTGTGTGTGCATCTGCATGCAGTGGCGTACATACCGCGGTCGCAGGGGTAGCAGCCCTGTAACCCCTGCGACCAGGTGCCCACCGCCATGTGTTGCGGCCCGGCCCGCGCGCTGGGGAGGGCCCACGGATCAATTTTCGCACCGGGGCCCCATGGGTCATATGTACGCCACTGCCTACAGCATCTACTCTGCCAACTTCTGCCACTGCACAGTGCCACTCATATCTGTTGTCACAGTAGCTTGCACGCATAGTACCACTAATCGAAAAAAAAATGACAGGCAGAGGCAGGCCACCCCGCAGGGGCCGTCATGGTCATGGTGCTGTGATTCCCTTTGGCCCTAGAATAATGCCCAGTGTTTAGAGGCCACGTACCCTGAACTCAAAAAGTTCTGAGGACATAGTTGACTGGCTAACACAGGACACCCAATCTTCTACAGCTTCCTCTCGGAACCTTGACGCACCATCCTCCTCCAGCTTAGCTTCGGGTGGGGAGGCTATGGGTGGTGAGGCTGGTGGTGGGGTGGGAAGGCTGAGGGTGGTGGTGAGGCTGGTGGTGGGGTGGGAAGGCTGAGGGTGTTGGTGAGGCTGGTGGGGGGGTGGGAAGGCTGAGGGGAGGATGGGGGGTGGAGGCTGGGTGGGGGTGGGAAGGCTGAGGGTGGTGAGGCTGGTGGGGTGCTGGTGGGGGGTGGGAAGGCTAAGGGTGGTGAGGCTGAGGGTGGTGAGGCTGGTGGGGGTGGGAAGGCTGAGGGTGGTGAGGCTGGTGGGGGTGGGGAGGCTGGTGGGGGACGCTTGAGGGTGGTG